CATTCTAGGGTAACTTAAAATCCAATTGACTGGTATAACTCGAGTGAGATCCAATATTTTTTATATATTTTTTAATAAATCTAAAATTTTAATTTGTGAACACTTGACTTTATATTTTTTTTTATAGCCTACATCCCCGTGAGATTTTATTTTTCTTAACATTTTAACGTGGAGTAACTATATTTATAGTTTATATCTACCTAAAATATTTCATAATTTTCTATATGAAATAACTATATATAGTCTTTATTCATATGAAATGTTTCTTAACTTTTCCAGGTGATATATATATAGCCTTCATTCACATAAAATGTTTCTTAATTTTTTAATATGAAATAACTATATATATATAGAGCCCCTATTCACATAAAATGTTTCTTAATGTTTTTCATGTGGGATATAAAAATATAAAAATAATAATTAATTTTTCCCTAATTGACTCGATACCCATCCTTTTGGATGAGTCAACCCTTAGGTCGGGTTTAATAACCATAGTTAAAATGACAACATATTAGATTGTTTTGAATCAACTCAGGTTAACATGTCGAACCTGTAACTCAAGTCATGAGACCTTGATAATCCTTTTAGAAAACAAAATTAATATATATATATATATATATATATATATATATATATATTATGCCCAATTCTCAATCACATCAATTTTGAAGGATAAAATTAAAAAAAAAATCAACTAAAAAATAAGTCAAGTTAACCTAGATTAACATGTTAAGCCTAGATTATAATATTGTGATAACCCTATAAAAACAAATCAAAATAAATTATGAAACTCAATTCTCAATCAATCCAATGTTAAAGGATAAAATTAATAATAATTTAAAAAAGATACAAGAAACCACTAGAGTCAATTGATCAAACTTGTAATTCGGTCTATGAGACTAGAATAATCTCATAGAACATAAATCAAAATAAATTATGAAACCTAATTCTCAATCAACCTACTATTCAAGGATAAAATTAAAAACAAATTAACTAGAAAATGACGAAAAGAACTTGAGTCAATTGGCCTAACCTGTGACTGTGATAACCCCAAAGAAAGCAAATAAAAAAACAATTATGAAACTCAATTTTCAATAAATCTAATGTTGAAGGATTAAATTGAGAAAAATAATAATAAAAATATCCTAAGTCAACTTGGGTCAAGAGACTGAGATAACTTCATATAAAGCAAATCGAAAAAAAATTATAAAGTTTAATTCTCAATCAACCCAATATTAAAGTATAATATATATATATATGTATATATATATATTCAATTAAAAAAGACAAGAAAGTCGAGTCAAACTAGCTAACCTGCAAAACACTCAACGTATAATATATATATATATATATATACATATTCAATTAAAAAAGACAAGAAAGTCGAGTCAAACTAGCTAACCTGCAAAACACTCAACCCGGGTCATGATAACTTCATAGAAAGCCAATAAAAAAAACAAATTATGAAACTTAATTCTCAATCCACCAAATGTTCAATAATGAAGTTGAGGGAAAAAAATTTTTTTTAAAAAAAAGACAAAAAAGAACATAAGTTAATACGGCTAATCCGCAAAATTCGCGATCTTGATTATGAAACTGAGATAACTATATAGAAAGTAAATCAAAATAAAATTATAAAATATCATACATAGTAAATTTAATGTTGGAGGATAAAATTAAAAAATAAAAATAAAAACCAAGTTTGAAATTTTTTTAAAAAAAAGTCTTAAAGGTTTTTGAGGATCAAAGTGAAAAAAGCCATGACACGTCATTGTTCATTGTTATAATGAAATGCCAAGGCCTTTTAGTATATATTAACTAGATCATTGCTTATGCTATGTTGCAGGTCAAATCAATTATTTTTATGTAAAAAAATATTCAGTATATAGGGATTGGTCTAATGGACATGGTTAACTTGAAAGGTTCAAAAATAACTCAAACGATTGATAAAAATATAGTTTCACTAAAAAAAATCAAGAAGACATCTTTTTTAAAATATTGAAACAACAACATATTAAATTGACTTAGATTAATTTAGGTTAACCTTTCAAATTCATTACCTAGGTTAGGAGCCCCTGATAACTATATAGAAAGCAGATAAAAAAGATTTATTAAACTCAATTCTTAATTAACTCAATACTAAAAAATGAAATTGATAATATAATTAAACTAAAAAAAATATGTCGAGGCGGCATGAATTAAATTGTCAAACCTTGGTCATGAGACTAAGATAACAATATAGAAAGAAAATCAAAACAAATTATGAAACTCAATTATTAATCAACCTAATATTAAAGGATGAAAATAAAATAAAAAAGACACAAAAAACACTCAAGTCAACTAACTAGACCTGTGAATTAGGTCATGAGACTGAGATAACATCATATAATGCAAACCAAAATAAATTATTGAGCTTAATTTTCAATCAATCCAGTATTGAAAGATAAAGTAAAAAAAATCAATTGAAAAGTACTAAAAAAATTCAAGTCAATCGGTCTAACTTACAACTTAGATCATGAGACCATGATAACCACGTATATAGTAAATACAAAAAAAATTATGAAGCTCAATTTCCAACCAATCCACTTTTGAAGGACTTAATTCAATTTTTTTTTTTTAAAAATAAAAAATAACTCGAGTTATCCTAAGTTAATCTGTTAAACTTGGGTCAGGAGACCACGACAACTTTATAGAAAATAAATAAAAAGAAATTATAAAGTCAAATTCTAAATCAACTTAATATTAAAGAATAAAAATATATATAAAAAAATTCAATTAGAAAAATAAAAGAGAAAACCAAGTTAACAACTCAACATAGTTAACTTGCAAAACTCATTATTCAGGTTATGAGATAATAATAACCCTATAAAAGCAAATCAAAAAACAATAATGAAACTTAATTTTCAACCAATTTAATGTTGAAGAATGAAGTAGAGAAAAAAATAAATTTTAAATATGACAAAAAAATAATCCGAGTCAACACGACTAACTCACAAAACTCACAATCCAGGTAATGAGACTTGAATAACTATATAGAAAGCAAACCAAGATAAATTATGAAATACAATATCTTATAAACGCATTTTTGGTTTGGTTTGATTTACACTGAAAAAATAACCAAACTGAATTTCTTTAATGCAAAACCGAAATTGGTTCGAATCAACTAATTTCAGTTCAATTTGATTTGATTTATTTTGTTAAAAAACTGACAAAACAAAAAAATTAACTTATTAAATATCTAAGAACAACATAAACTAGTTCTTGGCATATGAATATATGAAGTTTTTGTAAACAACAAGCAAATGAAAGGTCTTATTTAAACATTTAAATGAATCTTTAAAAATAACTTTTATATTGTAAAGAGAATTAGCAAACTCCATTGCTTCAACTATTGATTTAGAAAAAACAATACCTTTAATCAATAAAGTGTAATTAGTTTTATTTGGCTATCAACCATTTTCAATTATCAATGCTTCCACTTCAATAACATTACCAATTCACTCATAATCCAGGTAATGAGACTTGAATAACTATATAGAAAACAAACCAAAATAAATTATGAAATACAATATCTTATAAACGCATTTTTGGTTTGATTTGATTTACACTGAAAAAATAACCAAACTGAATTTCTTTAATGCAAAACCGAAATTGGTTGGAATCAACTAATTTCAGTTCAATTTGATTTGATTTATTTTGTTAAAAAACTGACAAAACAAAAAAATTAACTTATTAAATATCTAAGAACAACATAAACTAGTTCTTGGCATATGAATATATGAAGTTTTTGTAAACAACAAGCAAATGAAAGGTCTTATTTAAACATTTAAATGAATCTTTAAAAATAACTTTTATATTGTAAAGAGAATTAGCAAACTCCATTGCTTCAACTATTGATTTAGAAAAAACAATACCTTTAATCAATAAAGTGTAATTAGTTTTATTTGGCTATCAACCATTTTCAATTATCAATGCTTCCACTTCAATAACATTACCAATTCTACGTGCTTTGCATAATTTAAGAAGAATAATTTTATAGTTGACTATATTTGGCTAAAACCTTCCACTTAGCATGCTTGCCAACAGCCTAATAACTTCATCCACCATTCCATATCTGTACAAACATAAAATAAGTGACTATATTTAAGTTTGATTAAGATGCTGTTTATTTTTATATTTTAAAAATATTTTAAAAAAAATTTAATTTTTTTTTTTATTTTTGTTTTGCTTCAAATTAAATTTTTTTGATTTTTTTAAATCATTTTGATACGCTGATATCAAAAATAATTTTTTAAAAATAAAAATATTATTTTGATATATTTCTAAATGAAAAACACTTTAAAAAACAACCGCAACTAAACTCTCAAACAATCTCTTAAAACGTAGAAGAGATTAGAGGGGAATATGTGAGGGCAACTACTTTGATTTAGGTTAAGGATGGGAAGAAAATTGAGTATTTATATTATTTTTTTAGTGTTGGTTGAATCGATCCAGTCTAATTCAATCAGCTTTGGATATCTGAAATTGAATTGAACTGGAATTTTTTTAGGTTTTTTAATTGATTAATTTGATTTTTTTGTTATTTTTTTATTTTCATACTTAATTTTTTTGAGTTTTTTTATTTATTTTTAATAAATATAATATTAAAAAAAAAAAAAAAAAAAAACTAAGTTTAAAATAAAATAAAAAAAGCATTTTAAAAATTATAAGAATCAAAGGAAAAAACTTCATGTCATTTTAACTATAATGCCAATGATTTTTAATATAATAATAATAATAATAATAATAATAATAATTTTACTGTACTTCATCCATTAATAATTATGATTTCGAATTATACGTTAAATATCAAAAAGTATAAGTGGTTAATCCAGATAAGCTCAAGAAAAACGAGATGTGCTTCAACGTTAAATCCAAGTCAGTGAAGTAACTAATCCAACGGCCATAAATCACTCACTCTCACCCCTTGAAAACAAGAAAGAAATCTGAAAATCCCCTTTTCTCTCTCCTTAAAAAAAACCCTAAAATACACACTCAAATCCTAAAAAAAAAATATTCAATTCCAGAAAAATAAAAAAAAAATCTCTCAATTCCCTTCTCTATCTCTCTAAAAAGGGGAAAAAAGAAATGGAACCCAACGACTCGCACCAACAGCAGCAACACCACTTCACCTCTTACTTCTCCACCTCCACCACCACCACCACCACAACCACCCCATCACCTACCAATGGCCTCCTGCCACCTCATCAACCCACAGACTCCACCACTCCTACTGGGCCCCACATGCTCTACCCCCATTCAATGGGACCCTCAACCACTGCTACAGTGACAGGAGGAGGAGGGGGAGCACCAGTGGAGGCGGCGGCGGCGGCAGCAGCAGCGAAGAGAAAGAGAGGGAGGCCAAGGAAATATGGGACGCCTGAACAAGCTTTGGCTGCCAAGAAAACGGCCTCCTCTAATTCTGCTGCTGCTTACAGAGAAAAGAAAGAACACCAAGGTGGTTCTTCCTCTACTATTTCCTCCTTTTCAGCCTATTCATCCAAAAAATCTCAACATGCTTCTCTTGGTAAGTTTTTCACGTTTATATTCTAATTAGTTGAATGTTGATTTTCGTTTTTGTTTGTGAAATGTAGTTTAATTCCTTGAAGAGTTTTGTCTTTAGTGATGTAAATAGTTGAGTTTGATATTTTTTTTATACTGTTCTTGTTTGTGAAATGCTGTGTATTTGATTGAAAGATATGGTCTTTGCTGGTGTAAATGTCAGAATTTCGAATTACTTGAAGTTTTGCATGTTGTATAAGGCTTGCATGTATTTGTCTAGTATTCTTCACTGATATTCTTTTTTATGTTTTTTGGCATTTTTTAAAATTTTTTACTAGGCGTCCCATTTTTTCATGAAAACACGGTGTTTTGAAGGGTTTTTGTATTCGGTGGAGTAAGTAGTTGAATTTATTAGTGAAATTTTTTTTTTTTGGTGGATTTGTTTGTGAAATGTTATTTAATGCCTTGAGAAGTTTGGTTTTTGGTTGTGAAAATGTGATTTTTTTTTCCTCTAATTTTTTCTGTGGTTGAATTGAAATTCATTCACTTGTGGTGGGTTTCTTTCAAGTTTAGTTCAGTTTTATACTGTTATTTATGGTTTCCGTTTATAAGATGTTGTTTAATTGTTCAAAAGGTTTGGTCTTTGATGGTTTCAGTTGAAATTTTTGAATTAGTTGGATTTTTCTATTGTGTATGAGTCATTGCATGCGTTTGTCTTAATTGTTTTTTGTTGTTTGATGATTTTTTTTTTAAATTGACAATAGGTTTTGGAATTCTTTTTTGATCAATGAGTAAGTGAGTGAATCCATTTTTCTTGTTTGTTTAATTCTTTCAATGCTTTTTCCATGAATATGTTACTTGGGTGCTTTTCCGAACTGCTGTCTTTTTTTGGTGTTTTCAAAGGACGTGATTTTTTTTCTGCTTTGGTTGTGGAATTCTGTAGTGTACAAATTCTTTGAAAAGCTTCTCTTTTTGGTGGTTTGCAATTGCAGCAAGTATCTATAATCTTGCATTTTGTGCAATCATTGCTTGTGTTTGTGTCAAGCAACTTGTAATTTTGTAAAATTTGTTTTGTTTTGGTCTGATGGGTTCTGCGAGCTTTCTGTATGTTGAATTTGTGTTTCTTGAATGAATGAGGATTTGTTCCTCTGTCAGTACAATGTCCCCCCCCCCCTCCCATTGGGTTATATTCATTTATTTATTTCTGTATTCTCTGCCGCAATCAGATGAGTTTCTGACTATTCTTTGTCCAAGATTTTTCCTGTTATAATGGTTATTTCTTGAAGTTCTTTGTTGACATTAATTTTTTATTTATTCTAGTATTAGAGACTTGATGGGAAAAATGAGCAAACAGTATTTAACTGTGCTTGTCCTACTACATGGGGTGGCTCTCTGCACACTCTGGTGATAGGGCATACCATATTAGGTATAGCAGAATCCCTTGAGAAGCGCTGGTTGATCAATATTCTTGTCCTTGAGATTTGTTGATTTGAATTGTTATTTACTTGAAAGGAATCAGCAAGCACCTACTTTATTAAGATGGCTGGGCTTCCTAAGGACCAGTCAGTTGATCCTGTTGTGATCCTTTAAATTTTTGTGGAGGTTGCAACCATTTTTAGCATTGCAATTTGTGTTAATTTTGTTTGAGGATTCATTGACACGTGTTTTGATTATTTGATCCCAAGAATGGAAAAGAAATCTAGGCAATATTTTGTATATTGGATTTTTTTAACAAGGGTGCATTTTCATCAGCCTCGCTTCCTTCCTGTTTCATTCTCTTTCCCCTAGAAAATTCATTGAGGGGCCCCCATTAACTGCATGCCTCTTTGATATGGTTACCTTATCTCGTCTTTCTGCTATTTCTGGCATTCCTTGTTCTTTTATATTGTCACTCTAGTTTTAAATGCTATAACACAACATCATTCTTAACTCCCATCTCAGTTTTGAGTTTAATTATTCTGCTACTGTCTAGTGCTTTGTTGGATCTGTTTCCCAATGAATACCAGGCCCTAGAATTGTTCTTCTTCATTACAACATTTTCAACATATAGATAAAGAAATTGATACAGAAGGCAAATAAAATTTAGGTCTAGGCTATATGTGTGATATTATATAATCTACATAGCCTTGAGTAGGAGTATCTGGGTGTACCTGAATAACAATTAGCATTTTGTTTCATCATCTTGTGAGTTATCAGGAGGATCTCATACTATCTCGTTGTTTGTAAGGCTCTTTTTTGTGATGTCACTTGACTCTTAGCTTGAGTGAGATGGCAACCTAACATACTGTATATGGATTATGGTTTTGTTTAATGGCTCTTCTAATAATGCAATGTCACTTATGATGCATGCAGATTATTAAATCAGTACTTCTGGTATAAATATGCAGGATACCTATATGGGGTGTTAAGTGTAGTTTGCAGTTGTACTGGATAAAGTACTTTCCCTTTGCCTTCTTATGCTGTCATTCTTCAAGTGCCTTTAGAGGTGCAATATAGCTGATATTCAGTGCAATTGAGCTGCTTTAGTTTTTATAATTTAGTTTGTTAGTTAGTTACTGGAGGCTGTCAGTTTTTATAATGTAGCTTGCATTTTATAATGGGGTGTTAAGTGTTAGTTTGTTAGTTAGTTACTGGAGGCTGATTTATCCTCTCTTTTGTGGTTCTCCTTCATTATTGATACATTTTCTTTTGCCTAAAAAATGTAGTTTGCATTTGATAATATGTGCAGAGAAAGTTTGTTGATGTCATTGAATTTGTATCTGACTTGCTCTGTCACTAAATGTGTGCATTTCTTATGTGGTTACCTTATGTGATACTAGGAAATTGTTTGAGTTTGGTTGATTAGGAAGGTTTTCTAGTTTAATAGATGAGAATGCTGATTTTATTGACCTAGAATATGATGCCCATTTGCAAATTTGAGTTGGGAATACCTTCTTCAATTAGTTCTGGAGTTGCTTTCACACCACCATTGACAGACTCTCACTCCGTATAATGTCTTTAGGTGGTTTGGAACCCTGTATGTTATGAGACTGATTTATTTATTTTTCTGGTTTTGAGAATGCCTATTCAGGAATATCATTCCATTACATGATTTTTTGGTAAACAGTAAACTTGTATTTCTTTGATGAATTGTTTCTTTGATAAAAATGATATCAATTTTACTGCTCTCATTGATTTTAGTGCACAGATTGAATGCTTACCCTTCTTGTTCTTTTCTCTTTGTTGCAGGCAATGCTGGGCATGGTTTTACACCACATGTTATTACAGTAGCTGAGGGTGAGGTATGGAAACTCTCTAACCTTGGATTATACTGCCATTATCCGAAATTAGTTGGTAGCCTATTTTGCATTTATCTGGCTATTTCTTTTGCATGCTATGCAAGCATACAGAAAAATCTTTGTTCATGAAGATTTCCTCAACTCTGTCCACTATTTGTTTTGTTTTTTATTTTTTTATGTATTGCATACTGTGGCACTGTGTGCTTTAATGGAGTTTTCCTCTTTTAGTGACTTGGCAGGAAAACCATAGTCAACCTGCCCATGTCTTTTAAAAATGTGGATTCATTTATTTCCTTACTCTTGGGAAGCAATAACTTAGTGGTGATTTGCCTGGTTTTTTGAACATCCAATTTTAAAATTTTGATTTAGAACTGAAATATATACTTAGTTGTGATATGGGGGGATTGTTTTCCTTTGCTTTCAGTATTCTTGCTGGCATGCATATGCAGACTTCTACATGTTGTCTTTGCTGGGAGAAAGCTAATGTTCTTGATGATTTAGTTTAATGTTATAGACAAGTGGTATTTTTAATTGTTAAAGATGATGCAAGTATATGGTTGGTTTATGTTTGTAGATGCTTGAGGAGGTTTGTTTGATGGTTGTGTCCTTTAGCTGTAGATGATTATGACGTCAATATTTTAGGAACTTTTGAAATTTTGGTGATGTATCATGTGCTAGGTGGTTATCAGAGATGCATTTGGTGGAAGGTTATTGATTGCATCCTAAAATCAATATTTATGCTGGCCACTATCAGTATGTGATAAGTGGGAAGAAATGAATAAATTTTTTATAGTCTCATAGATTTCGGTTTACCTACAATGAACTCCTGGATGAAGTTGGGGTTCTTTCCTTCGATGTTCCTCATGGAAATGTGGTTGGCTTTTGTTGTTGTGGAGAAAGGTTGTGAGAAAGTGTTCATTGGCATGCATAGTGAAGCGTTACATGTCGACTTGAAAAGATTAAAAAGACCATGATCTAAAATTCTTCATTGGCCAAATTACTATGGCACATACTTTACTTATGGTTTCCATCCAGGAAAGGAAAGAAATAGGAAGTCAGAGAATAGAGTTGATGGTGGAAGAATCTATATATACGGTGTCTGTGAATTCTAGAGACGGTATTTCTTTGATAATGTAGACTTTTTTGATTGGGGTGGAAGATAGAATGTTAAAAGTCTGGTTTTTGGGTTGTTAATTGTTTCCAGATTCCCTTTGCTATGTGTTGAATTCTTTCTTAGGAATTATCATGTTCATTATGTCTGTTTATTTGAACAACTTTAGTTACGTTCTTTACTGTTCCATTGGGAATGGCAATTTTTTCAGAGAATTTGTCCATATAGATGTCACAATATTAGTCGGTCAAGGTAACAAACTGCATGTGTTTTTCATTTTTGATTACTGGTTTGTCTGTGTGCAGTTTCTAAGTATCTGTAAAGTCTATGACTCGTTACTTATTTGTTATTTTAAATGTTAAACAAGGTGAATGGATCTTTTGGTGGTATTTCATTAGCACACACAAGCTGGAAAGCAGCTCCTTTAAATGTGTTGCATGGGTGATAGTATGTCTGTATATTTCTGTTCCAAACTGTCAGTAAAGATTCCCTTCATTGTTGGTTTTTATTCTGATGAACAACATTATGTGGTTGAGGTTTATGCTTAAGAGTCCTGGGCATTCAAGTGATAAAGATTTGGGATGTGATTAGGTTGTGATAGATCATGATTAATCTAGCTCTGAAGTCATTTGTTGCATCAATTAGGAACTAGATGCTACGAGTAGTTGGAATGCCAATAGTGGTTTTATAGATACATCCAAGTCTCTGTTTATTCCCCAGTAACATAGATTCTTAACAGGATGTCACCCAGAAAATCATGCATTTCCTACAACAAAGTATGCGTGAAATGTGTATTTTATCAGCATCTGGTTCAATTTTGAGCGCATCTCTCAGCCAACCAGCAACTTCAGGAGGCCTCATTTCATATGAGGTAATTGTTATGGATGTTTTTAAGTTTTCAAATTCCAGAAGTCTGTTCTTTTTCCCTTGAATCTTCAGATGAACGTGATATTGTAGAACAAGAATTTTAGAACAACGATAAAAAGATTTGAAACTTACATTCTCTTTTATTAAGCTGCCAACTGACAATTTATGCTGCTTTAATATGGCCTCTGGTTATCTTTTCCCATATCATGATTCTGTATCTGACTGAAAGAAGGATACTTGACTGAAAGAGGAAATAAAGAACAAAATATAAAAAGGGAACAAAAAAGTTGCATCTCTTCAAGGGTATATGATAAAGAAGAACCGCTTGACATGACAACTGCAAAGAAGTCAAATCTTGGTGGTTTTAAGTGTTCCTCTGGTTCTGAGAAATGATTTCTGATTAGTGGAGGAATAGCTTGGAACTCTTAATGTCTGCACATAGAAAAATAAGATTCATCTCATGGAAAATGGGATGGCAGGCAGGCGGGTAGGAAAGGATATATCAACTGTAAAGGGTTTGGCAGAGAGGTTTTTATTTTTTAATTTTTTTCTTAATAAAAGACCAAGTATATAAAGGAACCTATGCTTAGGTGGTTCAGTTCTACTAATCTACAAATCTGGACAGCAGTGAAGTGCAATATATAGCTGAGCACCATTATTAGTACATTTCCATGATATCATGGTTTGTTTTTGTTGGTTAGACCAACGAATTGAGGAAGTCTGTGAACGATACAGACAGAAGCAGCTTTGCAAAAATTCAACAGCATATACACTTTGTATCACTTGAAAATCAAATGGTATACAATGTTGCTTTCTAGACCTCTTATATCTGGAAGCCTTTTTATTATTTTCATGTGTGCCCAGAGAATCCTCTGATAGCATATACTCTTGGTAAATTATCATTTTACTGTTTGCATGAGCAATTGATCCACCTCCGATGAAATTTTATGCTCTGAAAACCAACTTGACAATTCGAAGTGCTAGTTAAAGTGGTAAAAATGATTTTCTGAGATGATATGAAATTAATTGTTTTACCTGCGTCTGTTCAACGTTAGGGTCGGTATGAGATCATTTCACTGTGTGGATCGTATGTGCGTACTGATATGGGGGGAAGAGCAGGTGGGCTCAGTGTATGCCTATCTGATACCAATGGCCAGATTATTGGAGGAGGTGTTGGTGGACCTCTAAAGGCTGGTGGCCCTGTGCAGGTATTGCTTAAAATATACAATTTCTCCAATAAAACATCTGATGAAGTAGCGAGCAAACCATGATGAGGACAATCCTTTTAGTTTGCAAGCACATGCATGCATGTGACAGAGTCCTGATCATAGAAATCCCTGTTCCAGATTTAAAGGGGTTAATGCGATCAGGTCTTTAATATTTTATTATTTATTAGTTGTTTGTGCACAGGTCATCGTCGGTACTTTTATGCTTGACAATAAGAAGGGTGGTAGTGGAAAAGGTGATGCCTCTGGCAGTAAGCTGCCATCACCAGTCGGAGCATCAGTACCAAGTTTTGGCTTCCGCTCTCCAGTTGAGTCTTCTTTGATGAATCCAGCTAGGGCAAATGATGACCATCCTACCATCGGAGGGAATCCTTTTACAATGCAACCTACCAGCATGCATTTGACACCTACAAGGCCCCTGAATTGGATGAGTGGTCCAGATGTCAGAACTACTGGTTATGAATTTACAGGTATATTAACCCCCCCTCCCTCCCCTACTTCCTCTAACCCACACACAAGACCGACTGACATGAGGCGTTTTTTCTTTTTCAGGAAGAACAGGTCATGGAGGACCCCAATCTCCGGAAAACGGGGACTACGAGTAAATTCCAGATTACAGATTGGTTGACTTTCGAAACACTGTTTTGCCATCTTTCTTGTGATCATTGACCAGAGAAAATGCATGCACAAGCTTTTGGACCCTTCGCGGAGTGCTAGATGATATGTATATCTGTACAGTTTAGTCGCAATCATCACTCATTGCTAGCTTATGCTTCCTAGATTATGGCCCTAAATTAAAACTGTTAACCTTATTTTATGCTCCTGTACTGTTTTTTTTTCCGTCTCCATTGACTCTGGTTTTGCACACTGGAGTTGGTGGCTGATTCCTGTTAGACATTGAATTAAGGTTCAACGGCAAACCTGGCATGAAAGGGAAAGTTGTGCAAATTGAGATGATTTCTATCATGCGTACCGGTACGCCTACGCGCCACCATGAGATCTTCGCCTGATGATTATACTAAGCATGCGAGGATATACGCCATCCTTGTAGTATAATACCAGCAGCTTATTATAAATAAGCTGAGAGTTGCTCGATTAATGGTCGCATATTGACCATTATACTTTATAAAATGAAAATTACCCCTATTTAACAAAATGCTCCAATTACAGAAAGAATATTGCGCGGGTATTATTTGTTAGATACACATAATAAATAATAAAAATATACTTTTAAAATATTTTTAAAAAATTCTAATAATTTTTTCCAAGAATTCTATTCACCATGAGCCACATGTACTCCTCCTAAAAAACACTTTATTAAAACAACCCTTCTTCTTTCTCTCATCTATTTTTTTCTTTATTTTTCTAAATATTCTAACTAGATACAATATTTTTAATTGTTCAAACAGTTATGGATTAGATTTATATCTTCTTCTTCTTCTTCTTCTTCGTCTTCTTTGTGGTGGAGGAACTAAAGAACTGATTTGGCAAGAGATTTCAGAGTTTGAGACACATGTAAAAGAGGCACCATGTGAAAAGCCTGAAAATGAAGAACTTACTTGGAAGTCCAAAAAGTGTAGACAAGATGCCACTCGGCAGGTCAATGATTTTCGCTATTGTGAGCAAGTCTTTTTCACTTTGTTAGAATCGAGTATCATGGTTGCAATCTCATTTTGAATCTTGTGAAAAATTTAATGGCTATGTATGGTTTTTAGTATTATTATTAAAATTACACGTTTCTATATTTTTTTTTTTACTGTGGTGGTAGAGGTGGGATGGTAATAATGAAGTTAATGGTGATAACTGTTGAAATAATTAAATAATAGTATGATCTTTTTTTATTTATAAAATATATTTTTTTATTAAAAATAAACTAAGTAATATATTATTTGTAAAATGTTTTATATTATTTATTTTTTAATTAAAATATTTTATATAAAACAAATGCTCCTTTTCAATACAAAATAAAAACTTTATCAAACTTTAGAGGAAAAAATTGTAAGAGAAAATCATATATATATATATATATATATGTTGAAGAACTAATACATATAATATATGCTTTTGAAGTTGCTTCATTATAAATCTTGCCAAAAAAATATTATGTGACAAAACCTAGGTGAAGAAAAAAAGAGAATATAGTGTGTTTATATCTTTCTCTCATGCAAGTATATTGACAAATATTTTTAAGCTAAAACATTCTAATATCATGTATGAGTTTTTCAAAAGATATGAAAGATAATGCTTTTGTGAACAAATATGTTAGATTCTTATTTGATTATGCTTAATGAAGATTGATTTCTCTTTCTTTCTTTGTTCTTATTTTATAATCATGTGTGAAACAATTTTTTTTTGTGATATGTGTTTGGTTTTGTTACCTTTAATATAACATCTTTTTTGTGATATGTGCTTGGTTTTGTTACCTTTAATATAACATCTTTTTATTTAAGCAATACATGCAACATTACCTTTATATAATATTATTGTGCTCCATTTAATTGTTGAAAGATTACATTCATCCTTGATATGTTGAATCAAAGATCTCAATCATATACACTCTTAGCTTGCTTCATGGAATGCTAGTATCTTGATATGATTTGAAGAATTAGCTATAATAGTTTGTTTAGTAGAGCACTAATATATAATAATACCATCATATGTGAATAAATATGAAACAAATAAATATCATGTTTGATAGAGATCTTTATATAGATAAATATCAACATCCGTATATTCAATCAATTATGGATTTTATAATTTTGAATATAATAATAATCTCATATAAGTTATTTTATGAAAATAACATAATATATATTTCACACCATTTCAATGTCTTCGTGTCAGTGTTGAACTATATTTTACTAATAAGCTAATATAAAATGCTGTATCTTATCTCGTATAGATAATAAGATATATTAATACACTAATTGTATTAAGATATGGTATTTTAGAACTAGCAATCCTTTGTTATCTTCTAGAATATAAAGATGGTCATTCTTTATGTCAACGGATTGAACTATCACAAAGAGTTTAAAAAATTTGCTTTGTCCATGTAAAAATGTTTTAACACCTTTTTTTGTATAAATAAAATTAATAAACAAGTATTTCATTTGATAATTGTTTAATTTATAGATGAAGAAATTTCTTTTTATCAATATACTTCACACATGGACTAATGAGATTATTGACATTTCTTTTTTAAGAAGATATGTGATAGGATTTGTGTTACATTCATTCTAATTGTTTTAATCTATATAAAGATATTTGTAGTTTAATTCTATATATTTTTGGGGGTTTTGAGTTGTATGCTTCAAAAAATTTTAATCCTTTAAAAACTTTCACTAAATATCACTATTTAATGAATAATATTTGTAAGTTATTACGACATACATAAGATGCATTAGAAGTTCTTTAGAAATTGTTAAACTAATTTAAAATATATATATATAATTTCATCTACTGCATGAAAATATATTTTCTCATAATAAATTTTAGATATATATGAGAAATCTTATGCTATAAGTTATGCTTTATATCTTACAACTTTATTATTTTCATTTTGTTTTTATTATAAAAACACCTACTTGTATCTTATAAATTTGAGTCAATTAACATTTCCTCCGGCTTCAATTACTTGTCCAAAAAAATTATGTGTTTGTAAGTGAATTTAGTTCCACTTGGTTTGTGTTTTTTCACTTTTACTAATCATTTCTATATTGATATTTTTTAATGCAGATTTAAAATTCTCTCTCTTTTTTCAATTAGATTAGTAGCTACTACATATACAAATATGTTATCAATAAAAATTTTATTTTGATTCTATTTTTCTCTATAATAATATAATCTACTGAAATTTCTTCATTCTTAATATTTATATTACTTTGAATATTTTTAAGTTGACTTCTAAAGTTGTTTATTTGAATATGTTCACTACTTATCTTGTGTCATAACCACTTTAAGGGTACTAAAAACTATAAAGATGATGACTTTCTTATTTTTCATGAATATTAAGGGTACTATAAAGATGATGACTTTCTTATTTTTCATGAATTTTAAGGGTACTATAAAGATGATGACTTTCTTATTTTTCATGAATATATTGGATAGAATATTTGAATATCATAACTTGTTACAATAATAAAATGACAAACAAAATCAGTTATTATAAAGATAAATAACTATCTCTTTAATATCAAGTAGTCTTTTCATGAATGTTATCCATTTACATTGAATTTCTTTTAGGACTGTCTAGAATATGACTCTTTTTTCATATTAGACATGCAATTAAAATTACCACTATTATAACTTAATTTTTACTCCTCCTAGAAAATTCACATCAAATTTAATAGATTTTGAAGGAAATGTTAGTTGTTAAATAATGATCAAAATACAAAAATTAAAAAAATTGATTTAATATAAAATTAGATAAATAACAAAATTTAGAAGCAATAATTAGACCACAACAGGAACAATTACGTCAATCATAATTGTTTATAAACCATTTAGAGTTTAATTGAAGAAAAATCATTACGTCAATCATAATTGTTTATGAACCATTTAGAGTTTAATTGAAGAAAAATTGTGAAAAGAGCTGAAATTAAAGTCATTGCAAACAATTTGTTTTAATTGTTTATCGTTTAATTATTTGATTTATAATTATTAGGAGATCCAAGTATATTAGTTTTATTAAAAATTTCAAGGATAAAAAATTAATTATAACTAGAAAATATATTAGTATATTTGGCATATTTAACCTGAAGTAAGCTAAATTATATAGTCTAGATGTGATTTATATATTTTGATGGGTTCTTAAATGGTAGCCAGTTGATGACTTAAAAAAATACTATTATAAATAAATATAACATTTTAAATTTATTATAAGTTTGTATATCCAAATAAATTCTCATATAAAAAATTCATATAAATATCCTAATCAATTTTATTTATCATGAAAAGTAAAAAAGTTTTTCATAACTTATATATCATAGTAAAAAATACTTCTAATTAAAATTAATAAATATCTAAAATAATTTTAAAACATTTCTACTCAACTCTAATATTTAAATACTAATTCATTTATAAATTTAATATTTATATCAAAATATTAACTATTGAAATACTACTATTAAAATCCTAATAGGCAAGTTGTGTTGAGATTATTTATACCTGTTGATGAATAATAATTTAATTTTAAGGACGATTAATACAAAATTTGACAGCATCTTTTGATTTCTTTTTATATAAAATTCTATATATATATATATATATATTTCTTTTATTTGATATTTTGTTTATACTTTTATGTTATCATGGAAATAAATAATTGTTTTTACTAAAAAATTTCTTCTACATCTAAGACGCAAAAAAATAAGAAGGAAAAATCAAGGCTTAATTTTGTTTTTTGAATGATTCTTAAATTATAACTATCAACACTATAGAAAAGAGATTAATAACAAAAAGCCTAATAAAAATAATAAAAATATATCAAAAATTTTAAAAATTTATTTTAATTATTTATCATATTTTTTTATACTATAAATATTTAGGGTGACACCCCGAGCAATATAAAATTTATCATATAAACAAGAGAGAAGCAAATTTTCTAGACGAGAAATTAGTTGAAGAGAATGTTTGAGAATACCGTGTAAAATATATTTTTAAAAAATTATTTTTTATTAAAAATTATTTTTTATATATATTTTAAATTATTTTGATAGGTTAATTTTAAAACTAAAAATAAATTATTTTAATATAAAAAATATTTTAAAAAATATAACTCGAAGTAAGTCCGGTGATCCGGATATTTATATTGAGAAAAAAAAACCCTTTCCATCCTTTCTGTCTCTCTATTCCATGCAAATAATATTCTATTCCCTCATTCACGGGGGTTGATGAGAGAGAAGCAGGGAGTGTCTAGGTTCTCTTCACCTTCACTCTGTGGGGACCCCACTTCTTAAACCCTTTCC